TAGAGTACAGTTAGAGCTAAGCTTTCAAGGTGGTAGATCTCCAGGATCAGGGTTTGGCACACATAGTACAGTGTATTGGACAGCACTGCTGCCTTCCACGCGGTTCCAATATAACATGCTTATAATTGCTAGGCCAGAAACATACTCAAATACAAATGACAACGCTCCTCCAATGCATTGCTAACGTACAGTGGCTATTAAACATTACTGTGGCTGTTAAATCACTCAGTACTGAAGTGGGGGGTGATAGAGGGAAAATCAAAACCAGATCTCCTGCCAGAACAGCTAAACATGTGAACAGTAGGGGAGAGTGAGCTGCTTCACCTGTTCTGTCAGGAGTTAATGCATCACATGTATGTTTATGTTTAAATGAGCAAACCGTTTTGCGGTAGACTCTTCTTAACTGCTCGTCTGCCATGACAGTTGACCAGAAGAAAGCACATTGACAGTAGGAGACAGCTTGCGCTGCATTATGAGTTGTGCCATGACTACATTTTACATAGCAACAATGCGTGAAACCCTGTCTGCGTACCTGTGTGAAGTATGTTTCTGGCCTAATTCGTCTGTGTAAGTGTCTGCCTAATGCATATGTAAATACCACAAAATACATTAATTGCAGCTACATTTTATTTTTCAAGTTACAAATGGAATGGAGATGTGTGGCATAATCAAATTAAGTTCATACAACCATTTGTAATATTTGCTGAGTGTTGTGAACTCTTCACTGAGAGACACTCTGGCTTAAATGCCAAATGCTTTTTAACATTGCTATAACTGTTACAAACGTGCCTAATTGCCTGTTGCAGAGGTGCCACAGTAGTTTCTAGAGTGCGATTTTTTGGTTTAAAGACTAGGAAACCCCCCTTCTAAGGTGGTATCATGAAGGCAGGAGGAACTTTAGCAAAACTACAAGCACTTTAGCACTGTAGAGAGTTTTTTCCCTGCGCTTCCTGGCAAATAGTGAAAAAAGCCAGATAGCTAATGTTACTGCTGGGAAAACATAATGTCTACATGTTTATAAGCCTCTATATCACTGGCTACGCTAGCAGTTAGGATTTCTCTATCATGGTGGGGAGGATTCCCAATGGTTGTATGGTGTATTTGTGTAATGCATGCTGTGTATTGTAGTGAGAGAACACTGATGGACAAAAATGAATACAAAATCGTGTCAAACCGCTGAAGCTGAAGGATACATTGCTGAACTAGATAATAGCACATAACATGATACATAACATACTAAATGGCCTGAATGCCCCTTTAAGGTAGCTGTCACATAGAATATCAAAAACAAAATCTAATGTAATATTTAGAACAAGCCAACTATATTGTATACATTCAAGACATTCAGTAATACAAAAATAGTGTTTACAGTCAATTACATTCTGTACATTTGATACCAGTTCATATTAATTCACAAACAGCCACTTACTGACACTCAAAATGAAAAAGATTAACACATGAAACATTTAACACCACCTGTTTCACTGCTTGTAGTAAATACATTAATGAATAGCAGCCTTATTTACATGTTTACATCTCATAGAGTCTATCTGCAAGGTTGTGCAAACTTCAGCAGTGAAGTTGTTTACATAATTTTTCTTTAATATCCTCAGATTTTCATGTACCTTCAGACCAAAAAAGTAGAGTGTTTTCACACTGAGACCTGATACGTGAGTCCACATCAAGGATCGGTTCTGGGCTCATTTTGTGGGATGGGTGGGGTGCATCATCACAGGTTTGTTTTCACATGGGGCAATTTTCTCCGAACTGTAGCTTCAACATATTGTGATACATGCTTAGAAAACGTGGTTCTTCAGGGGTTCTTTAGTAAAGGGAATGGTTCTAGTTAGAAACATGAGTTCTATATAGAACTATTTCATGCCCAAATCATTTGAGAATGTGTTGTGTATGGTTGGTTATACACAACTTGGTTAGAAGGCAGGACCTGTTTTTATATGGTAAAGCTGACAAAGGCCTGAGGAACAGAGGAGAGATAGGGTGGTGGTAGGAACTGTGAAAACTTCACGGAAACGACACAGAAAACGGGAGCTAGAGATGGGAAATTACAGGGTGTTAGATTAAAATGGTCCATTTTATAAAAATGTCACCATTTTCAAACCATGACAAGCAGTGGTTATTTTTGGGTGCTTGGCCTGTCACAATTGTTACATAATCACCCTAATTTCCACAGATTTTGGCTTTCACAATCATCACAAGTCACAAAAACGAAGTGAACTGGATGGAACTAGTTGTATATATATAGAACAAATAAAATGGCTAATAAATTAATAATCACAATTAATTATATGGCTAATAATTGTCTGCGAAAATTTCATGATCATGACAAGCCTATACAAGGCATCTCCTCATGCAAGAACACTTGTGAACAACTGGCCTTTCAGCCATGCAGGCTGTCACAAGATGTGAAAGTATGTTCCTCTGTAATGCTCTGAGCGCTCTTTATTTACTAAAACAAAACTGCAGTTAACTGGGATATTCTGCATTTACTTAAGAAAAAATCTGATATTACTCATGTTACACTGACAATAACTGTAATTCAGACCACTATGCATTAAAAAAGAAGGCAAACATTTCGTTTTCATTTATCGTTCATGCTTGATGTACTGAAGTCCTGGTGTGAAAACGCCCTTAGTGGAGAGAAAATCAGTCACTTGGCACATAAGCTTTGGAAATGCCTCTGAATGTCTGAAACCTTCCAAAAGAATTTATATTACAGTAAATAATGACAGCTGACAGTTCTGTTGGTCTATTTAGTTTCATGAATTTCTGTGGTTCTAAGTGAATCACATGTCTCACTGAGTAGTCTTGGAGCAGTTGGAGTTTCTCTTACCCTAAAAAAAGCTGTACTTTACGGTGCAAAAGTCTTAAGCAGATTAGCACAAGCGTGTGCTTGCTTGTGAAACACCAGCTATCATCAAAACAGATGCATAAAGAATTGTTTAAGATATCTTGTGAGCTAGTTTGGAGAACAAAGTTTGGTTTCTCCTTATTGCCCCCAGCCATCACATAGTTTTGTCAATGTATGAAGTAATAATGAAGTATTGTGTGCGTATACATGCACACCAATAATATGATCATAATCGGATTTTGGCAGTTATCTAATTATTCAAGCAGTCATGTAAATAGCATAGAGATTTTTTAGATTCGATTAAGGCCATTATTGGATTTCTAGAAATCTGAAAAAGAGAGCTGAATTTTAGCTCAGTAATATGCTTTTTCAGTGCATGGCCCTTACTCTGATTTCTTTCATTTCGTCTTTCATGGATGTGTGAAAACAGAGTTTTGTGCACTCATGAGATGGCAACAAAACACTTTTGGAGTGAATACATGCTTAACAACATGATTCTTCATCTTCTAGATGATGTATATTCATACTTTCTGGTACAGTGACTGCATATTTAAAAAAAGCCATGGTATTACATTTGAATTTGTTATGTTTATGTCACGTCTTTTTCTGTGAGTTTATTGGCTGGTTGCAAAGCAAAAATCCAATTACTGCTTGACTCATGTAGACCCTGAGTTTCCCCATTATCTGACTACTCAAGTGTATGTAAACACGTTAAACAAATCACTGACAAAATCTGATTTTCTGCAGTTACCAGATTATTAAGTGCATATAAACGAACTCATTAATTAGCCAAACCAGGTATTGAATGATCACTACAAGCAATACTGGGCTTTCTCTAAGAGAAGTTAGGAAATGGTTAAATCACTACTTATTCTATTCATGTTATTTGTACTTATTCTAAAATTAGTGTTTTAAATGCTTAGTGACCAGGGCTTGTATTCACAAAGCTTCTCAAAGTAGCAGTGCTGATGTTCATCTATAATTTACTATGTCTTTAGGGACAGCAACAGATCCTATATCAGTAATTCTAGATTGTGAATACTGGCTCAGATAAACAGCTTTTAAAACTAATGTTCTTAGGTGCCTAAAACTTTTGCATGGTACTGCATATTTGAGACCTCCTAGACTGAAACTCTGAGATCCTGTTAGACACACTGTAATAGACAGGTTCTCTCTGTGCTGTAATTTCTTGACAGAATGACTTCTTTGTAAAATAAAGACTACACACTGCAGTAGAGAAATAGGCAACGGGAAAGATAACAAACGTACAGTCTTTTAGGGTTCCTAACAAGCATTTCTTTAGTACTCACTTCTCTTTTTAAGACTTTTCACACAGTTAGCAAAACAACACAGTTTGCATCGAAACATGTACAGTTTGCATCCTTCCTTGGATGTAATTTGCATTCAGTGACCACAATTCCTAAAATTCTTTTATTCAGGTCTCACTCAGTCTTAGCTGTTAGCCAAATTTCGGGTTTCTGTAGCTCCATTTGTAAATGCTTGTGGACACTACGGGTGTAGTGTGTATTTGGGAATTATGGGTGTATTTATTTGAGAATATATGGGTTAATAATAGGTCTGGTTCTCACCTTATTGAACAATGTGAATTGTCCATCAATTCTCTACATTAGGTGTGATGTGGATGACAACATGTGACCAATTGATGCTGATCAGGTTAAGTAAGCATTTACAGTGTCAGGTACTTTTCTCTCTCCTAAACAATATAGGCCTAAAGTATCTATAGATTTTTTTAGTTTCTGTTGCTTCATTTGTTCCTATGCAAAAAAATATACCATTTTGTTTTGTATTGTTTTTCCGATTTAATGAGTTTTTTCATTCATTGTAAAATGGTTTGTCTTTTGTGTCTGACCCACCTGTACCAGCGTAACACACACTAACAAGCCACCACCATGTCAGTGTCACTGCAGTGCTGAGAATGATCCACCACCCAAATGATACCTGCTCTGTGGTGGTCCTGTGGGGTCCTGACCAGTTAAAGTACAGGGTAAAAGAGGGCTAACAAAATATACAGAGAAACAGATGGACTACAGTCTGTAGTTGTAGAACTACAAAGTCCACCTATATGGTAAGTGGAGCTGTTAAAATGGTCAATGTTGCGACAGGATTTGTCCTACAGCTCCTCTTCTTCCTCCTCCTGATCCAGACAGCTGTACCTCACGGCCACAGAATCCTTTGGTTTGACGTCAGTTGCATTTTCTGTAAAGGTGACGTCAAGTTTCCTGTTCTCTCCTGCAGCGTTCATGTGCATGGCATCTCCTCCGAGCATGAGGTCATCAGCAGGCTTGGCAGTGTCTCCAAAGGCATCCTCCTCATTTTCTCTCAGTGTGATGTCGTTGCCGGTCTCTCTGAGTGTGATGTCATCCACACGTTTGGCCTCCTCCTCGTTTTCCTCAGGGATGGATGGCGGCAGACTCTCCACGTCTGAGCTGCTGAAGACATAGCCAGGCAGTGCCACATGGGTGTGTGTGTGTGAGAGTGTGCTGTGCGAGAGTGAGGTGCGGGCGCTGCTAATCCGGCTGGACGAGCGATAGACTCGGCTGGACAGCAGGATGGCGCCACGGGTGGCAGCCGGCAGCTGGGAGTGGACACTGGTGCCGCTGTTCAAGCTGGTCAGCACTGACCCGTAGCGGTAGTTGGCCAGCACGAATGGGCCCTTCCAGTCGAACGCTAGTGTCCAGCGCAGCCACATCTTCCGCATCTCTGTCTGCACCTGGTGGAGAGAGGAGGGAAAGAGTGCAATGTGATATAAGTTACAGTACTTCTGTAATGGTACTCTCTAACAAGAAGCTTTTAAAATCAACTGCGCTTATTTATTCTGTATGATTTCTCACATTTTATGAAGTTACTTTTATATATTTAATATACATATAGTTAGTATATTTCAGGACTTCTTAACATCTGACCAGGGACAACAGATGAAACTTACTCTGGCTCATTTACAACTCTGCTGATGCTGATTATTAAAAGGGCCTATATCCTGTATTTTTCTTGTATTTCATCTTTTACCTTGAGGTTTTTCCTTGAGGGTTACTCATAGTTATAATTATATAATTATTATTAATTTATAATAATTTTTTTCACGTCCATTTTCCAAACTCTATCGCTTTTTGTGCTTCATTGAAAAGGCAGTCAGGGCTGAAACACTTTGTATAACTTCAGCATGAGTGGGTGGGACTAAACTGCTGTAGACGGAATATGCAGATGTATATAAATTACAGAATCACAGAAACCATGAAGTTAAAATGTTTTTTTTTTACAGCTCAGCTTTCATATATGGACTTTAACCATGTTTATACACTGCATCAAACTCGTTTATTTCCAAAAGTGAGGAAACTGTTTTTGCAAGATGTGTGAAATGTAATGGCCACCTTCTCTGACAAATAAATTAAGTAAAAACAGAAAATGGATACATTCTAACTTCTATAAGATAATATTTGACCTATTCAGGTGAACGTGACAGCAGGTCTACACCTAATTCTGAAACCTTTTTTGCTTTTCAGTTGGCAGCTGTGACGGCAGAACAACTAAACAAACTGGAATTAGCCAAGAAAAAGAACAGAATACTATTCAGCAAACAAGATGTGCTGTGAGATGCTTTACAGACTGATTGGCACAAAAACGACATTCAGGTTAATCTGGCAAATTTTGAAAAAGCTGAGCTGAACCTGATATTGCTAAACTTTCATGGCTCTACTGTAACACAAAAAAATACTTTGTACTTTTTTGTGTGGAAGAATTTGACAATATTAAGGCACTGATACAACGTTCGGGGCTTCTTTGCTTTACTTTTTTCTTTATTTTGCAGAACTGATGTATAAAAGCAATAGAACACTTGGTTGGTATTGTGAATAACATCAAGCCTGTGATGTTTTTAGGGATATCAAACCCCCCTCATGTTGTATTACTTAATTTGCTATAGTAAGCTAGTGCTGAGTGTAGGGTAATGAGTCAACTTACACCAGGGGTCAGCAACCCAAACGTTAAGAAGAGCCATTATGTCCTTTCAACAAAAATGAAACCACCTTTACAGTCAACCATCTTGGCTGTAAATATGTCTCAGTAAGTGCTAACGTCCTAGTAGCTATACATCTTTATATATATATATATATATATATATATATATATATATATATACTTTTCCACAAAAGTAGATTAGTTTCTTTTAAAATGTCTTTTAACATTAGACTTTTTATGAGGCTGAAGTCATTTGCTAGTATCAAGAAACCAGCTGGAGTGCTTATAAATGCAAATAAATCCATTTGTTTTCAATTATCGAAGTTCTTAAATCTTTCTCTTTGCCTTTTCGTTAGCTATGAGCTAGGCAAGATGTTGTCTGCGTTGCTACGGTGACCAGCAGTCTGTGCGCCAATCTTCAGGGTCAAAGGTCGGTGAATTAGCAGTTATTGGCTACATTAATTCCAGCGTTTAAGACCATTTATTATTAAAACTGTGTTAGAATCGATCAGCAGAGCTTTATTTTACTGTAAAGAAGGATTATTTTATTTTTACCTAAAAATCTAGTTCTGCTGTGGAGCCTCAACAGGGCAGTAAGAGAGCAGCATGTTGGCGACCCCTGACATAAGCAGACAGTAAAACAGATAAAGGTAAATAGTAATTACTCATGTAAATACAATTATACACAAAGGTTTAAAAGGCCATATTTTGTTTAATTTCTAAGTAAAAATAAGTAAACACATCCTCTACATGGGACAGACTTCAATATGCCATTTTTGGGCAAATTTTACTGCACAATTTGCTGAGTTTAAATATTCCTATATAAATAAAACCTGTAACATAAAATGTGCTGTAACTTTTGCCATATTTTATGTTTTTTTTCCAATGTTAAATGCAGCAAACAATAATTATGTATTAAAATGTGCTGTGTAGAGGATATTTACTTATTTTCACTTAGAAAATCTAAAAACAACTTATTTTCTCTTTCTTTAATACTTTTATTTCTTAATACTAGTGATTCTCACTATAGTAGCAGTAGGATTTTCAGTCCTCTTTCCACCCTGACCAAACCCTTCATTAGCTGGGACAGGTGAGTAAAGAGCAGAGAGCACAACGGTGTGTAGAACATTGAGTCCCAAATACCAGATTTGGAAATTTGGCTGATTTATCTCAAATACACCGTAGACCATTTCACATTAAGAAATGTCAAGTTAAAGTGCATGACCTTCAAACCTATATTAAATTTAAGCTCTCCTAGCACAGACACTGCACTCTATGCTCTGGCATTGAACTTCATACTGAAAGCATCCATTGACAATTCAATCTAATGCCTTTGAGTAGTGCACAGCATTAACTCAGATAACACTTAATCTACCATTCAAATGTTTCCTCCAGTTGAGCCGTCCAGGGGCCATCATGGCTTATTGTGAAGGAGAGTGTTGGTATTTCAGTCTTATCCTATCAGAGTGAAAGGTACTGGAAGATTCTGTAAAACTACCAAGCAGTGCAAAAGGTGAGGCCACAAACAGGATTCAAACTGGGATTCGACAAATGACCACACTTAAATATGTATGCAATACTTCAGCTACATGTTACCTTTGATAACCTTTTCAGACCAACATTAGGGCTTTTCTGCTCCTGCATATCTTTGTATTTTGCTCATGATCACTGACAATTCCTACTTAAGTAAAGGTACTGCTACTATAGTGCTAATTCACTTAAAAAGCATTAATAAAAAGAAAATTACTCAAGTAAGAGAAAGTTGTTTATTGTTTTTTTTTCAAACTCAGATGCAAAAAAGTTGGGATGGTATGTGAAATGCTAAGTAAAACAGAAGCCAGTGGTTGGTAAATTCTGTTTGACCAGTATTAAAACGGTGAAACAGTTCAAAAACACAATATCTGAATTTCATTTTTTGTAAATATATGCTTATTCTAAATTGAATGCCTGGAACATGTTCCAAAAAAGCTGTGACAGATGCATTGTCACCACTGTGTTATACCACCTTTGCTTTTTACAACACTTAATAATCCATTAAGGGCTGAAGACACAAACTAATCCAGTCTTGAAAGCGATTTTTTTTGCCAACGTTATGTTATACAAGCCTTCAGCTGTGCAACCACACAGGTTGTTGTTGTGTTTTGCTCACATGGGAGGCAGATCTGGACTACAGGCAGGTCAGTCTAGCACCTGCACTCTTGATTACGCAGCCATGCTGTTGTAACGTGTGGCTTTGTCGTCTTGTTAAAATAAGCTTAGACATCTCTGAAAAAGACATCATGTGGAAGGCAGCATATGTTGCTCCAAAATGTGTTCACAGTTAATGGTGCCTTCACAGATGAGCAAGTTACCCACCAATAAACCCCCCCATACCATGACAGACCCTTTATGCTGGTAATAAGCTGGATGGTCCTTTTTTCTTTGGCTCAAAGAACACATTATTTCCATAAACATATGGACCATGTTCATGAGTTGGCCATACTCATGGAAATAACTAAGTTAAAACAACGACATTACTACTAAAGTCTGAGAGCTGAGACTACTTACACATATTTCTGTGTAACTTAAGTTAATTGTGATGTAAACGAAATCACTGAGGGTGTTAAGGGTATTAGGTGAAATGGTACATTGTAGAGAAACTTGCTCAGATATCTTAACAGCGGCAGTGACAGGAGCCAGAGGTCGCAATGTCTACAACCATTTTGTATAGCCACTTTGTTTGCTATCCAAAATGACCAGAGGACTTGCATGTGTCTTTGTAATAATGTTGGTAATGGTAAATCTGGAAAGAAATATTTATTTAAACAATATTTATTGTTGTCGTGATAAACTGCATCTCTGAGCATATAGTAGTTAATATCTAAAAACACCAGCTGCATGCTTGATTACAAAGACAGCATAATTAGTCCTAATTAACTGGATTTAGTGTAGTGCAGTATGTGATATGTTGAATAAAATCAGTGGACTCACAGTTTCTGGTCCTATTTTTTCAAAGTGGCTCTACACTGACTGCCACAGTTCTCCATAAGTTTCTCCAGAACAGAGCATTTCATATCTCAACACTCTGGATGACTCTGTTTACCTTGATCTTTCTCAGCAGAGTGCTTGGGATCTTTATCTTGCTGTAGAATTAATTAACATTCGTGATCACGATTAACAATTCGTTCTCTCGTTTTCTTTTTATCGTGCTCATGATTTCTATTTAATTGAGCGCATGTTATGTTTTTTTATTCATGCACAAACAAAATAAATGTAGTAGATACAGGCCGTGTTATTTGTCCTGTGCAGAAGTAGCTAAGCAGCTAACAGCTCCCAGAAACTGTCTAATGGGTTTTGATGTGTTAGACTGATGTGATAATGCACAGAGATGCATTAGGTTTGATTTTGATTTGGGGGGTTTTGAAGACACTGCAGCTTCTCTTCACAGCAAACGGCCCACAGATTCATCAGTGCAGCTGCAGTTGGGTGGTGAAATGAAGGAAGACAACAAACTAAAACCACAACCTTCACTAAACTGCACTTTCTAATGATTATATTAAACAGAGATATGTAAAAGCAGCGCAGTCGCTTAGAACTGTTTTGTCCCACAACAAGCTGCGGTGTTAGAGATCATCACACAATTACAAGAAGAAATGATCAGCGTCAACGTTTCAACAAACACAAATTGAACAAACACAGATACATTCATGTGGGATGAGTGTTTAATAGATCTATGGATTAGATGTAGATATACTAATGTGAGGATGTTGAAACGCTGATCATTTCCTCCTGCAATTGTGTGATGATCTCTAACACCGCAGCTTGTAGCGGCAGCAGGAACAGGGCTAAGTGGCTGGGCTGCATCTATATCTCTGTTAAATATAGTCATTAGAAAGTGCAGTTTAGTGAAGTTTGTGGTTGTAGTTTATTGTCTTCCTTCATTTCACCACTAAACTGCAGCTGCACTGATGAATCTGTGGGCTGTTTGCTGTGAAGAGGAGCTGTAGTGTCCTCATAACCCCCCAAACCCAAAAATCAAAGCTGATGAGCATCTCTGTCCATTATCTCATCAATCTAACACATCAAAACCAGTCAGACAGTCTCAGGGAGCTGTTAGCGGCCTGTATCTACTACACAAACAAACAAACAAACAAACGTGTTCAATTAAAAAAAAAACATGCATGATTAAAAGAAAATGTGAGAATGAATTAGAAAATTATGATCACGGAAAAAAAAAACTTAGCCACGAAGTAAAGAAAATGTGCGCACGATTTAAATAAAATGAAAGAACGAATTCTTAATAAAAGAAAACGTGCATACAAACTGCAAAACATTCACTCTAATTAATTTTTTTTACCTCTGTCCCACCCGGGGCTTCGTACAGAACAGAGGTCATGTACAGATTACAGTCTTAAAGGCACAGTAACAAAAAAAGCCTGAATAGATAAAGGGATGATAAAGTGGTCAGGTAAACTGAATGAAACCTCTAGTGGAAAATTAAATACAAGAAAAATGCTCTGTATAATGACAGGAACAGTCTACATCTAATACCTCTCACATATAAAGAACAGAGAAGCAGTGATGCTCTTTTTTTTGGCTACATTGCCTCAAAGGTTAAACCTTGCTAGAAAAAGCTAGAAGGGCCACTTTGTTAACATCTTAATTTCATTATGCAGAATTTTGGAAAAAATGGGTGGGATTCTCCTTTAAAATTGAACTGATCTCAGATGTCCTGTTCTGGATTTGTAGTGAGTCTCAAGTGAGTTGTAGGATGCTTTACATGATGCAACCTACGGGCAAATTAGTTTCATGTGGGTTTCAAGCAACTAAAGTCGCATGGACGTTTCGCCATGTAAAGCCAGCCTTAGTGTCTCTTTGAGGGGCAACCTAATGTCAGTGACTCCTCTGGGAACAGCTATTGTTGGGAGGACACAGCTGTAACTCATTGGTTTTGATATTGGAAGGACAGAAGAGTTAAAGTTGAAGTAGAGCACATAAAAGTAAAAAAAAAATGTTCAGCTTCTTTGTTTGATACGTCTTAACTTCTTATCTAGATCTTCTCAGCAGAGTGTTTAGGATCTTCGTCTTGCTGTAGAATTAACTGAAGAGTGGACATATTAATACTGACAGATGTGGTATGTTGACTGGAAATTGAATAATTTTAGCAAAGGTAGAATTTTATAAAATCATTTAACTTTCATAGCTCTTCTTAAATGTGGCACTACTATTTTGCTGGTGCATTTTATTCCAACTTGTTCACCAACCTCAGAAAAACTAAATATTGTGATACATATCATGCATCATGAAAAAAGTATCATGATACGATATTTGTCATATGCAATGTTTGTCATATTCCACATTGTCATTAGGTGAGACAGCTGCCACTACCCCTCAAATCAAAATGATGCTTTTGACAGAACATTATGGTGGAAAAAACTGTGAAAACACCAACTAAGTCAGCTCTGTAAACAGACAAGCACACCCACACATACACACACATAGAGCTGAAGGCTGACCTCACTCACCTCTCCATTGCAGAAGCAGTAGATGATGGACACGAAAAAGCCCTTAGACAGAGCAGAAAGAGCTGGTGAGTGGCACTAGAGCAGAGAGGCACTTTCATGACTCACACATATACCAAACACTCACTCATCACTCACTCATACAAACAGAAAACAAGCCATGACCTTTCCCGAATTGATCTAATACAAAGACAAAGTGGATGCAGGAGTGTGTGTGTGTGTGTATGTGTGAGTGTGTGAGTGTTGGCACATTAATTTGTGCACATTAGTGAAGTAAAAGTTTGGTTTACCACCATACAGGTTAAAATTATGAATTAGAATAACACATGCTGTAATGTGTGGTGGTATTCATAATACGTTTAATTGAAATATAAACATCACTGGGTGCACTGACAATGGACGTTTGGAAATTCTAAGAAAGTCCCGCCTTTAGTTACTGTTGGTAGGCCTGTCAAATGTCCAGTACAGATAACCTCCCAGCATCTGTAACACTTAAAAAATAAATAAGATAAATAAGTTGGGACAGTAAGAAAAACGCAAATAAAATCAGACTGCATTGATTTGCAAATCCTTTTTGACCTGCATTCAATTGAAGACAGAAAAAAGACAAGATATTTAATTGTTTTAACTAATTAACTTGATTGTTTGGGTTGGCCTGTAACTTGTTTGGGTTTGTTTACAGGGGTTTGTTTACCACAGTGTTACAACACCTTTCCTTTTAACAACATTCAGTTATTGTTTAGGAACTGAGGACACCAACTATTGTAGTTGTAAAGGTCAATTTTTTTCCCATCCTTGCTTGATATAATACTTCAGCTGCTTCGTGGTGTTTCTGGATGTTGTTGATATATAGCTATATAGATATATAGCTCTATAGCAGAGCCTTAAACTGCACTTCTAGATGCAGCAACAAACTGTGTTTACTGACAAGGGTTTTCTGACGCATTTCTGAGTCCATGTAGTTATATTCTTTACAGAAGCGTGTTGGTTTTTAAAGAGGGATCAAAGATTGTGGGAATTTAACATTGGTTTTCGTCCTTGCTCCTCACACACTGATATTTTTCAAGACTCTCTGAATCGTTTTGTGAAATTCCCATATTCCCATATAAATTCCTTGCAATCATGCACTGAAAAACGTTTTCGAATGGTTGGATCATTTGCTCACGTCGTTTTTTTGCGGTGACTGAGCCTTTCTTAGTCAATGCTCCTTTTACACCTAATCATGGAAGCATCAGCCGTTACCTATTCACTTGTTTTTTGTTCATTCCTAGACTTACATTACACCTGTCCTAACGTTTTTGAATCTGTTGCAGGCATTTAATTTGGAATTACCAAAAAATTATATGAATCAATCAAATCAAATATTTATTTACAATCAAATAAATCATGTCAGAAAGGTAAAATATTAAACTTCTCTGGGCCGTTTTCAGTGAAATACTTGTAAAAGTTTACAAATCACTGCCTTCCTTCTGTTATTTGCATTTTACCTACTACCCCCTCTTTCCTGAAATTGGGTTTGCACACAGAGGAGTACATTTGCAACCTTGATTACATGCTACTACCCATGCATCCTCCCAGTGTGACCTTTCAGGTGCGTATAAAATGAATGTCATCTGAAATGAATAATGTGCTCTTAATTGATGTATCTGGACAAATTCTGTTTAGTGTGATACAGTTTCTCATTAGATTGAATGGGATTTTTCCCAATGTTCTGCAAAGCATGTTTATTTATCCCATTCAATCTAATGAGAAACTGTATCACACTAAACAGAAATAGACAAAATCACTCTAGGGTACCATTTTGGTTGCAGCATCAAAAGGCCACTGAGTGAAGGGCAGCCAGATAAAGATCTAATGCATCCTCAAAAAGTTAAATATATCATTCCTCCTTTCCAATTTCAGCTAGAGTTTGAACATTTCTGACTGTCATATATCCAGACCAACCATATGACATCATCACAGTGCAACATTGGCGACCTACTAGTGGGGGATTTTGCCTATTTGTCACATATTTTTAGAGTAAACAAAACATTTTCATAAAGTTTATACAACATATTTTCAAAGTATGGAACGTGCAATATTTTAGGCCATTCAAGTCTTAACAAGGCTTACTTTACCAGTGCCTGTAATTTACAGTCTAATAATGATCAGATCAAGCTAATGAGGACAATTACACAATCTTGACATGTTCTGGACAGTGGGTCTTAGCGTGTGTTTGTGTAGTTATGTAGTTATGTGTATTTACCTGAAAAGAGTTGAAGAAAAGCTCACAGTACATGCGCAATTCCCAGCCCAGGCCAGTGAATGTGTGAGGCATCCCCACAAACACAATATAGTGCACTCCAAACACCAGCACCAGCACCAGAGTGGATTTAGCCAGCTTCCTGCCCAGGCAGAAGGAGAGAGACACTGAGAGAGATAGAGATGCTGGTGGTGGCGGGATAAGTATATGAAAACAATGGATAAAAGCAGAGCTTGCCTGATAGTTCAAATACTCAAGTATACATTTGATATGTTGAGGTTTGTTTCTTTCATTTAGTATTCAAAGGCTTTGTTACAGCCTGAACTATACAGAAAATGCCTTTAGATAGAACATTTATTAATATATGGAAAATGATACATAAATTATAGCTGGTTTAGCTGAATCATTTCATGCCAGGCATCCACATCACCTTGCCTCAGAGAGGAACAAACTGCACCAATTTCCATATAGCCAATGAAGCTAAAAGAGCAAAGACACATGACAAAATTATGTGTGGCAGCGCTTTAAATTATCTTGCGATAAAAAAATGCTCAGTGCAGAATTTCTGATTAGAGGTTGATATACCATGGAGGCATGACAAGTTTGATTATTGAAATCATCTCTTATACGTAAATATACATGCCTACACTCTACACATCAGCGTAAGTGAATCCTACATAATGTAATTACTTCAGGTGGAAAACTTCAGCTCTTTTTTTCTCCTTTCCTTTCCTAATTAAAGAGCGAAATCAGTTTTTAACCCCTACCAGCAGGCCCAAGTTTTATAACACACTTGTATAGCCTAAGAACAGCTCAACCAGTTTGCATTGATGTCCCTGTAGTTACTGAATAATAAGCCTTAGTTTGTACTAAGCCTGGGATTTTAAGAGGTTAAGTTTTACTGCACAAACAGCTATGCCACTGTTAGTACAGCACAGGAGCTGCAGGGCAATACTTTAGCAAATGATTATACACCGATGACCCAATACATTATAACAGATGAAGTGAATGATGTTGATTGATTATCATGTAACAGTGGTGCATGTCAAGGTCTGGGATATATTGGATGGTATGCGAACGGTCTGATCTCATAGACATAGTCTCTGACAAGGGCCAAATCATTACGGCCAGAGGACTGAGTCAGATCATCTCAGAAAGATGGCAAGACTTGTGGGGTGCTCCTGGTTAGCACTGGTGTGTACCTACTGACAGTGGTCAGAGGAGAGACAAACCACAAATCAGTGACAGGGTGTTGGGCATCCATGCATGAGGGCAATGAAGGCTATCCCATCCGGTCTGAACTGACCAAAGATTTTTTTTCTCATGATGGGTCATAATGTGTGGTTGAAGCAGGCAGGTGCAATGAAGAATGGCACTAAGTAGACGTGATAAGTGGTTGAAGTGTGAGGTTGTGGGCATTAATAATCAAGCCTGAGCTGAACTCTGTAATGAAGAAAGAAGAAAGTTGATCTATTTAAACCCAAAGAATAAACAGTAGCTAAATATATACAAAATCATTAATTATAGGATACTTTCTGTTGGGAGATGGCTGTCCCAAACACTAACCCCCTAAATTTCATCTTGGGAAATAATACGTACATTTTATTTAAGGGTTTTTTTTATTTTTCAATGTGTTTTGATTTATTTTAAAGTGAAATTGAAAGATTTAGATATCATTAATTTTTGCTGTCCCACGTTTTCACATCACTACCAAAAGACAAAGAGTTTTAGTCCATTGGCAGAGGCTTATTTTAGTCACACCCCTGCATTTTAGAGCAGGAAGTGAGACTGCATCCCTGTCCCTCAAGGCCACATGATGAGCAGTTAGATCTGAAAATCACTGCAATCTTAATAATTTTCACTACCACAACACACATTTTCTGCAATTAAGCAAACGTTTTGTATTTTGTGTGTACAGCTGTTCAAAGCTGTGTTTGCTAGTCATGTAGACTAGCGTGTTTGAGTCAAGATCAAGATTAAAACTGTCACCACCATAACAGTCATTGCGAAAATATTTGGTAAAGTTTTAATACTGTTATGATTGTTTTGGTAGTGATAAAATGTTCCGGTATTTGTCTTAAAAAAATAAATATAATTAGGGTATGAGGTCACTTAAAGCAAAAAGACTTTAGTCTAAAGTCCAAGTCAGTTAAAAGTCTGAAATGTATTATCAACTCTGACTTTGAACCAACTAAGTAGAATGATCCATATATAAGACCTGTTGCTGGTGTAAGTCAGATTGTCACATCACTTTAGCAGCTGCCCACTGGCTTCTATTATAAGCGTGCTCTAAATCAACACGCTCGCTTCACAGGGAAACGTGTCAGTGATAATTGACCATATGCTACATATGTTGCAGATACAGAGTAGCTTGAAAAAAGCTTTAAATTTAATAGTCAGAGCTGATTAAATCTATTCCTGGACCCAGAACCTCTGACAATCTTGCACTGTGTGACACTGAAACAAGAATAAGGTTAAATGTAAAGACAATTATTAGATTAATAGCAAGAGATCAGGCACTCGATGTTTTCAAAAATTCCACCACACTTTAAAGCAGATATCTTTTGCTGATGAAAGTTTAGAGCAGTGAAGGCTTTTTTGCTCATCTCGAGCAGTTAAAGTGACAGGAGAAGATGATTGAGCCCCCAGGACAGGGGCACAGTTGACCACATGTACCAAGAGAGCTTCATTTAGTGACCCTCTTCGGTGAGCTGCCATCACGTCCTGTGCTTTAATCAGACACAGCACTAAGCTCATTTCCAAATAATGTTCTCTATCAGCCTCACTCTCACCAAGCAACTCATCACCGCTGCTGTAATTGAATCTATTATCAATTCAATTACACTTTTAATGAGGTCAGAGCCTGTGGAATGACATAAGATAATCTTGCCTTTAAGTGTATGAGAGTTAATTTATATGCACACACACTCAGTGGTCATTATTAGGTATGCCTGCTCATTATAGCAAATAGCAAATCATGTGCTTGAAATATATGAAGCGTGCAGATGTGGTCAAAGTTTTAGTAGTTGTTGAACTAGATGTCAGAACGTATGATCCACCTGATCTAAATGACTTTGACTGCTGTAGCACTGTTTGTGCTGGAGTACTATAGGTGAAAAAACAGCCTGTTAATTATGGATGACCTGTGGTCAGACTCATTTATGGACAAAAACAATGGAATGATGGCTCTTCACAGCTCTGAATACACAATGCCCCAGGCTGAGGTTGCTAAAAGACCACTACAGGCCTCTGAAGTTGTGCATCATTCTGTAATCAGCATCACGCCCATATTAGGAGCTCAAGGTCTAAGCTCGTTTTCTCTATTTAGATTCTCTGAATTTAAGGTCCTTAAAGAGTCGAAATATGAACACTGCTACATCTACGCTACTAGCTAAACACTCTGGCATATTGAACCTCAGAACTGAAACGCCTTAGAATCACATAATCGCAAGCTAGTTAGGATAGATATCATTCTCAAAGTGAGTTTACATTTTTTGCCTATGAGTCTTAGGTGCCTCAGTTACAGTGTTTTCCGATCTCAAGAGCTCTACGTGGAATGCGTGGCAAGAAATGGCACATCATGCCGCCTTTAGTTAATTTTAGTGAATTTTTCACATTTTCTTTTGGTCTTTTTTCATATATATCAGGTTGTCAGTAGAAAATATTATCATGATTTTTCTTGACAATACTCTACATATGTGGACGTGGTGCTGGATCTGGCTTGTTCTGGCACAAATTAGCCGCTGGACACTATTTTAGAATAAAATCAGTTGCTCAAACTATTGGCTACCACTGCCAAAACAACTAAACTACTACATATGAACAAAGCTTGCTCATCTGTTCGAGATTCTGGTTGGACAACAAAATCACAGCCCGACTTTAGAGGTCTATGGGTTCCACTTATAGATATGCCTATTTGGCCCGCTGCACATATGCTGTCCACTCTGATCACAAGTGGACAGCAAGATGTATAGCTGTTTACACCTGGCATTCGAAGTGACTCAAGTGTGTTTGTGATTGAATTTTGTGACCGGAGGAATGGTGCTGCACGTATTTACAATAGTACGACAGTGTCAGAGAAACATTCAGCGCTAGTTGGTGAACATGTAAGCGCTGTTAATGTTTAGTTTGCGGGGATTGCATGCAAACAGGAGAGGAAACGAAGAAAGCTGCTTTTGTCTCTGTTGTGATGATGTAGTTAATTAAGGTGGTCCTTTGCTGTATGAGACACAGAACGCTTTAGCAGTCACATTACAAATGTTATGTGGTCATATACGTCCTTGAACGCAGCACCTGTACTTAACACCGTCCACTTGGATTGGACGACTAGATCACCCGGGACGCATGTTAATGCCACCTCCACCAAAGAGGCATTCCCTCTCCGCACTGTAAAATGAAAGGTTACCTGTAGACATAAATACATTTTCAAAAAATGCAAATGTAACAAACACCTTTAAATGTGCCAGGTTCTCCTACAGCAATATTAATTTAGGGTTGTGGCAAGATGTTTCAGATGTAAGTATATGTTTAACAGCTTTATGAAAACTTTTGCAAATGTTATGATAGCATGATGTTTGCTTGTGCATGCTAGATTAGATTATGCCACTTATTTGACAGAGTTCAAAGTAAGTAATGAGCAAGTAAGTAAGGATAAGTGAGTAATGGCTCTACACAGCTTACACACACAATGAAATCATAAGAAACTATAGGTAATAGGTAATATACTGTTCTACAAATGTGGTTTCAATGTGGTACAAAACATTTCCTCATGAATAAAATATATTACAACACAATGACCTTTATTATCAAAGTTGGATTTGACAGCCTGTAATGACATACTAACCACTCTGCATCTGATTTGTAACACTTTCATTCAGTGTGGAAACCAGCAGATATTGGAGTGAAAATGATGAATCAGCTTCAGCGCGTGAAATTAAGCGCCCACCTACCAGTACCTCCTTTACATATCATTTACATGAAGCATGCCCTAATTCATGCAGATGTTTCATGCAGGAGCCAATAAAAATGACAGCGTTAAGCAGTTTGTGAGCCAATGGCTGTGCTCATAGGTGGAGTTTGAGGTTGAGCAGTGAATGCACTGCTCCACCTACTGACCAAAGTTTGTAGTGATGAAATTAAGAT